TCTGATCCAGCAAAAGAAAGATTCAGCAAAGCTGAAGACAGGTACTTTACAATCCAAAGAACAGAGAAAAAAAATGAACAATAATCAGGGCCTAAGAGAAATGTGGAACAACATAAGTGTAATGGAAATATCAAGAAAAAAGAAAGAGAAATGAGCAAAAGATACTTAAAGAAATTATGGATGAAAACTTCCAAAATTTGATGAAAAATATTAATCTATATACTGAAGAAGCTCCATGCACCAGGCATGAAAAGGCCAAAAGATTTTTAAGATTTTCTCTTAAAGGAATAAAAGAAGAAACTCAAACATGCACAAAGAAACCCCAAAAGGACTAGGAAGGGGCTGAAATGTCATGAGAAGCAACATAGGCAGAAGGTAATGGAGTGACAGAGTCCAAGTTCTGGATGAAAAACATCTTCTAATAAGTGATGCTGAGACAGCTGCATGTTCCGTGAAGATTAAGGTACAGGAACCTTCCCTCATTCCATATGCAAGACATATGCTCACAGACTTACATGTGAGAGCTAAAGCTCCAAAACCAAGGTAATGTAGGCATAAATCTTTCTGACCTTGGCAGTGGTTTCTAAAATATGACAATAAAATCACAAGCAGTTAACAAAAAATATTAAGTTGGATTTCATCAAAAAAAATTTTTAAATGTGATTTGATGGCTACTATCTGGAATAAATAAACAAAATAAGGAGAAAAATATTTGTAAACTATATATCTAATAAGGGCATTATATACAGAATGTCCAAGAATTATTAAAATTCAATAATAAAAAGACAACCCAACTGAGAAACAAGGAGTCTAACTAAATATTTCTTCATAGAAAACAGACAGATAATTGATATGCACACTGAAAGACGCTAACCACCATTAGCGTTCAGAGAAATGCAACTCAAAGTAACATGCGCCACTTTAAACGCATTGAATTTTATCACCAAAAAGATAAAACAACAAGTTTTGGTGAGAGCGTGGAGAAATCGAATACTCATATATTGAAGGATGGAAATTCAAAATTGAGAGCATCTTTGAAAAACAGACAAACAGTTCTTTGAGATCTTATGACTGAGGTGATATACAACCCAGCAATTCCACTCTAGGCAGTATACTTAACAGAAATGGAAATATGTGCTCACACAAAAGCAGCATGTAGTAACACTGGGACTAGTATTCCCATATATTTTATCCAGATCTTCTTGCTTATATCTTTCTTCCTGTCTAAATGTATATGGTATTATGAAGTAGTAATTTGAATATATTGTGCCCTTTACTCATGTTCTTCCCAAGCAAGGAGAGTTTTTGCTCACACAACAACAAAACAGAAAAAAAAAATCAGAAAATGTAGTAGTGATTTCAGTACCACTGTTTAGTATACAGTCCATATTTAAATGTTGCCAGCTATTTAAATTTATCTTTTTAGGATTACTATTTTCATCTTGATCCAAGATCAAATTCAAGATCAAGCATCACATTTAGTTGTCCCATACCTTTATTAGCCTTGGATCTGATACATTTTCTCAGGGCTTTTTGTTTCCACATTTTAAAGAAGTTAGCTCCATTACTTTGTGCACTTGGGTTACGTGCATTTAGCAGGAATACTTTGAAGTGATGTGAAGGCCAACTGATCACAGGGAACCTAAAGTTCTATGCTGATTTTGGCTTAGCAGAAGTAATTTAGTGTTAAAGATTTGATTAACTTTCCCCACAAACATCATTTTCCCTTTGTTATTATTGAGCAATTTGATGGGAAATGTCTTCAGAATCTGTAAGATTCCAGTTCACATTAAATTTTCACCCACTAGTTAACACGCATTGATGATTTTCTGATTTCATCATTGTACCCATTGCTATTAGTGGGTAATGAAGTGTTTGGAAGGGCTTTCCTTCTTCCTCATGCATTCATTTATTCATTTTGGTATAGTGTACATATTTATTATTCAGTGCATTAAAATTTATTATTCTCAGTTTAATATTTGGTTGTTTGTGATTCAGCCAGATCTCTTATTTACATACTTTCTTCCTTCTTTTAAGTCTTTGTGGTTTCCAATGTACTTCTTTACCTTCTGAAAGATGTTTTGGGCTGACTGAGGTTTTCTGTAAACCCATTTGGACAACAGTACTTCTAGGAATTCTCGATCACCTCAGTGGGGATAGCATTGTGATGTCAAGGTGGCTCGGTGAGCTCCTGCCTATACAGGTGCTATGGCTTCTGGGCCTCTCTGGCTGGCTAATATGTAAAACTCTACCTCAGCCCTGCATAACTGGTCCCTGATTTCCCAGTTTTCATGTTTCTCAGTTTTGGGAACCCTGGACCCATCTCAAAGTTTATTCATTGTTTAAGTTTCAGAATTGTCATCGGGCAAAGCTAACTAGTGTTCAAATTGTTTGGAATTCTTTTTTTAATTTTTGTTTTAGGTAAAATGTTCATAAATTTGTACTTGCCTCAAATTTTAATTTGGTACATGAGTGTACATGTTCACCACACCACTGTCAAAACTCAGTGCAGGGGCTGGAGATTTAGCTCAGCAGCACAGTGCCTGCCTGGCAAGCGCGAGGTTGTGAGTTCCATTCCCGGTACCGGAAAACAAAACAAAACAAAACAAAGCTCAGTGTGGTTTCAGCACTCCAGAAGGCCGCTGGAGCTCTGCTCCAGCAAGGCCTCCATTAGTTTTGGTCATTTGTCTAGTTTTTCTCATAAGAAATTCATTTTACCTATGCTATAACGTGACAATGATGAAGCAGTTTGTCATGTTTGGGATCTGGCTTCACTCACTTGAAATGTCTGTGGGAGTTTCGCATAATGCTGTGTGCAGGAGTAGTCTGTTCCTTTTCATGGTGTAGCGTCATCATACTGTGTGAATTCATAATGAGCTATGAATATAGTCACCTGAAGTTGAACACTTAGGATGTTTCTGGTCTGCTGTTGCTGCTATTATGACTAAAGTTGTTGTGAACATTCTTTGACCAGTCTCTTTGTGGATATATGTTATGGTCTGCATCTAAAATGCCTGGACAGGAAGTGGTTACCTCATCAGTCAACCCATGAGTGAGTTCACAACTGCAGGGCTCTGAGGAGGTGGGGCCCAGTTGGAGGGCACTGGTCACTAGAAGCCTTTGTTGAAAGGAATATCTGGTCTCTGTCTGCTTCTGGGCTCCCTGGTTCTTACTTCCTGTCTGTTCCTGGCTTCTGACGTGAGCAGCTGCCATCCTCCATGCACTTCTCCCATGATGTTCTGTCTCCCCTCATGCCGAAAAGCAACGGGGGCAGCATCCATGCACTGAAACCTCTGAAACTCAAAGAAAATAACCCTTTCCCCTCACATTGTTTTTCTCAGGAATTTGGTCACGGGGACAGAAACTGACTAACATAGGTAGATTTTTTTTCTTGGCTTAATACTTAGGCATGAATTATCTGCACCAAAGTACATGGATATTAACTTCATAAAAATGTCCAGCCGTTTCCTTACTTCCCATTTCCCATTCAGGAGGATTTACTTGCTTCAACTCCTCACCTAGGCTTGACTCTGACAGTGATTCAAATTTTACCAGTCCTAGCAGGCACTGCAGGTTTTTTCCAAGTAACTGTGATGGTGGACACATTTCCCTGTTTGAATTCCCATCAGTGTATATTGAAGGTGTATCCCTTTGAAACTGGTCATCTAACTTACTTGGTTTTCTTCATTTTGTAGATTTACAAGCATTCCTCGGTATTACTACCCTGTGTGCAATATCTTTACCAAAGATATTTTACTAGTGATGAAATGCAGATCTTCAGCAACTTATCTTCGGGGAAAGAATGTGCCTCTGAGGGGGAACATTTGACATTCAGGCTGAGCAGAAGGTCTTCTAGGTCTGGGTCACAGTCACAGTGAAAACTTGAGATGTCCCACTGGAAGAGAACTGAATCTCAGTACAGCATAGAGTAGGAAAGGGCACAGGGCATTCCTCCAGACAACCTTTGGCCTTCTTGTTTTTGAATGTAAGTACAGGAAAGATTCCTCAATTGATAAAGGTGAAGATCAAAATCTAAAACACCATATACCAAATTTGAAAGAAGTGGGCTAGAGTGCACGGGCAAGGTAAGAGCGTGAGTCTCTGCTGACTTTCCAGGAAGAAAGGAAGGGAAATGGGTCTTTTGCTCTTGCAGAAGGTCACATGGAGTGGACATCTCTGATAGTGCAGCAGGAATGAATCACTGAACAAGTGAACAGGTTTGAAATCCAGAGCCTAAATGTATACAGTTTCTTTCCACCATCACAGCAGGGAAGAGAGAGGGAAGTAGGGAAATGCCAGCAGATGTCTGGCTTTCCGGGCAAAGAGAGTTTTGTCCTTTTTCCCTCCTGTTATGTCTCAATGAAGGTTGATGAACACTCAATTTAATACCCAGATCAAAGGACCTCCTCAAGGTCAAATTAAGGTAATTAATCAGTAAGTTTCAGGGTCCATTTTTTCTGCATTCAGAAAATGTGTTTACTGTTGGCAGACCTTTGGTTTTCTGATCACAAATTTCTAGACTCTCCAGCACAACCCCATAAAAGCAGTCAAGTTATCCCATGCTTTTTCCTCACTCATTCAGGGTTCCTCTCTACTTTGCACTTTGGAAAACATTCTTCTTGAGAAACAGTACAGAACATGAGGGAAATTTGTGAATGTGAGGGCTTGCAAGCTGGGCGCAGTGGCAAGATGGCTGCCTCACTGGCCCCTATGCCTGCTGTTCCAGGCCCTGATGTCTCAGTGTTTCTCAGGATCTGTTTTGTTTAGATCTGAAATGTCCTCCAGAAGTCTCACATGTTCAGCTGTGGGGCTTTGGGAAGGTGATGGCTCATGGTGTGATAAACTCAGTGAATGATAAATCCATCCAGGAGTTCAGTCTCAGTAACTGGATGTGCTGTTGGGAGGCGGGCCTGGTTGGCGGTAGTTTGCTGGGAGCATGACTCGGCAGGGATATTCTTCTCCCTAGCATATCCTTTCTCTCTCTGCTTCCTCAGGCCTTGGGTGAGTAGCTCTTCTGTGCTCAGGCTTTTCCATCATGCTGTTTCTGCCTCGGATCCAGTCAATCTGAGCCTGACCCGTCTGAAACTGTGAGTCAAAGTAAACCTCTCCTCTTTAAGTTATTCCTGTTAAGTATTTTTTTTTTTTTAATGATGGGAAAGTGATTAATACAGTATCTTGGGAGGGGCCTTTCCTGCTCTCTGGCAGCTTAAACTCTGATGCTTCCTGACTCAAGCTCTGACTTCCTAAGCTCTTTAATTAAATTTCTTCTGCTCATGCAGTGACTGAGAAAACTATCTACAATGTTAATTTTACAAGACTTCCAGCACTTTCTTCCTCTCTTTTTTGCTGCATTATTTCTTTCAGACAACTCTGTCTAAAATACATCATATGTCAACTTTTTATTTTCACTTCCCTTCCTTGCTGTATTTATTATCCTTAATACTTACCACCATCTAAAATATCACAATGACTCCTGGCATTGTAGTTGACTGATAAAAGCTCACTGAATGGAAGAAAAAAGGACAGAGTGTGGACTTGGAAAGTGGAACAGTGTTTTGCACATGAAGTTCTCAAAGAGAAGCAGGCAGGGACCAGGGCTGTGCCACAGGGCAGTTGGTAGAGGCGAGGTAGGCAGAGGAAGTGCCATGAAGCAGTGATATTTAAGGCTCTGGGTCTGAGGCTGTGAGAATCTCTAGTATCCTGTGGATGAAGCCATGATAAAATAAAATAAAAAAGCATTCTCTAAAACCTGAGTAGTCCACTTCCACTGTGGAGACTGAAGACTCAGTGTCTCTTGAGCCCAAGGACCATATACAAATCTGGGTCCTGGTGCTGTGGAGCTGACGGCTGCTTGTGGAGTCCCAGGGGCCGAGAGGCAGGGATGGCGGGCCTGAGTTACACGCCAGTATAACGTTTGGAATATCTTTTAATTTTGTGCCCCTCTCTCTACTTTCTTAAAAATTTAGAGATAACACACTGAATGCTGCTCGGCCTGGTGGCAGGTGAATGGATTATATCTTGGTTATCATGTAAGTCATCCATGTGCCTTTAATTTCAGAATATCTGTGATTTATCAGTAAAATGCTGAATGTTTTTACAGGTATATATAAAATGAACAGAGATGTCTTTCTTTGCCATATTGATTTCCTTGGATCTTCCTCCCTTTCCGCTCATTCATGCATTTGAGGTTATGTGCTAACATTTCAATCATTATAACTAATCTCTCCCTTCTCTGTCTCTCTTTCCTCTGTGTGACTCTGTGTGTTTCTGAGCTTGTCATTGTGGAGCCAACTGAACATTTTGTACTTTTTATCTTCTTTGTTTAAGAAGGAATGAAAGAGTCTGTTCACTTACTATGACTAATGCTTGAGAAACACACCAAGTTCTGAGTCTCCCATGACTGTCACATAGGTAAGTGGTTCTCTATTATTCATTCAAGATTTATTTTTTTTTTTTTATTTTTTTATTTTTTTGGTTTTTCTCCGGTACCGGGAACTGAACTCACGACCTTGCGCTTGCCAGGCAGGCGCTTTTGCCGCTGAGCTAGATCCCCAGCCCCTCATTCAAGATTTATAAGTGTGTGTGAGTATGGTGTGTGTGTGGTACTAGGGTTTAACCTACGGCCGTTAGGCTTATTAAGTCACTTAGTTCCCCAGGCAGGGCCCATGCATGCAATTCTGCTGCCTCAACCTCCAGAGTGCTGTGATTATAGAGACATACCCATCATGCCCACCCTGATTTATTGTTTTCTGAGAATTACTAATTATTATCCCTGTTCCATTAAGCCTGGTTTTCAACTTTATTTGGATATTGTCACCCTATCCCTTCTGATTTCAATTAAAAATGTATGTGCCCGAAAATACTAGAATGTTTCTCATGTGCCAGGAATCTTGTGGGAGCTCCCATGGACATTTACGTTTCTCCTCACATAACTGAAAGGAGCAGTATTCCGTCACGTCTCAGGGAGAGCTCTGGACAGCTGGCCTGTGTGTCCACACAGACATGCCAGGGAGGCATTTGGTCATCCAATTCCATTTTAGGAGACAGAGTGTTGATAGGATTGTGTAATATTTCGAGCCTTGTGAAGCAACCAAAAGTTACTAGAATGGCAAGTTTTTACTAAGTTCATAAACTACCCTCTAGAGCAGCAGCTCCGACATTCTGGCACCAGGGACTGGTTTTGTGGAAGACAGTTTTATTACTCATGAGGCATGGCCAGTCTTTGGCCCAGGGTTTGGGACTCTTGCTATACAGCAAAGACTGCAGAAATCATGCAAATATTGTTCATTCACTGCACAGTTCTGACCTTCAAGTCAGGTGGTGCCCATCCTGTGGTGTCTGGCATCTCCCCGTCGTTTTCATTCCCCCATTATATTACAGATCACGGGATCTTATGTAATTGCCTGTAATTGTCAGTGTTGTTAAATGACAGGCATAAACCCTGTGGATTGTCTTGAAAATGACTAACCTCTTTATGGAACCACTTGGATGTGATGTTTAATAAATGTAGCAATGCATATAGATAGCTACATAGATATATACACACACACACATATACATATCTTATATAATATATATCCAACTTTACTACATGATATTCCAAAACATTTTATTTATAGGTCCCAGATTGTCCAGTGTGACCTCGTCAACTAACTATATTAGTTTAAAATTTTAGGCCTAGATAAAATGATCTAACCTCGTACAGCTTCACCTCCTGCACGACATGGGTATTCATACCACCCCTCTATAAATGTTTGGTCCGGATCTTTCTTCTACGCAATGAAGTTTGACAGTTTGTGACAGGACAGAAAGGAAATTCATTATATTTAGTAATAGAAAACCTATTTCTCATTTTTCACGAACCAAGCAGCCACAATGAGATTGCCTAAGCTGCTATATCATAATTCTCCACCTTCATGGTCCTTAAGGTCACCTGCAAGGGTCTTCAATTTTCTTATGTTCACAGCATGGCATCTGGTAATTTTCAGTATCAGAAAACATACGGGAGCTATATATTTTTTCCTCAGACGAAATATTTCTGATCTGAAAAGAAATAAATCTGTCAAGAGGAAAATATTAAAAATAAAAAGCATGACTGTAATAATCACATTGATGTCATGGGCAATTTTGCTCATCCAGTTTGGAAAAAGAAACTCCCTTGCCCCCCAGAGGAATTGTCAGTGTAAGAGAAATGGAATTTTTATTTCAATAACCGCTGTGGTTTAAGGGTAATTTATGTATAAGGAAGAATAACAGCCTTGAGAATCAAATTTCCTTAAAATATTATTTTGCATTCTCACTGCTAGAAAGTTGAGTGAAACTGATAGATCAAAGAATGAACAAATCTGTTTTTCTGACTTATCCATCATTCCGCATACACTGTACCTGCTTATGCTACTGGCAAAAGAGAAGGGTTTGTAGCTGCAAAGTAATTATACTTATAAAGCACTAGCTCTTCAAATTAAACAGTGCTCATAGAATTCATATGAAAAATAGAACAAAAGGTAGTTCAGACTGACCTCACCTCTTAAGATAGCAGGTCTTCCTTTGCCTACACTCTTGTCACGTATGCATCCAAGCTCAGACATCGCTATTGTCATCAAAAACAGAGCAACACTGTATGTCATGCAAGTTGTTCCTTTAAGTGGATATCTTCCTACTGGACATAGAATGTTTAAAAATTAAATACACAATTTCAATACCTAGCTTATTCTAGAATGTATGTGGCACCAGCTAGAACCATCTATATTTAGGACTGAAAAATACATGAAGAATAATTACACCAAAGGAATCAAAGGCTCCACTGTAGGGTTCCATGTAGGAAATACTGATCCCTCTGCAAGTAGCAGTTTTGCACATTGTGTTACCCCTCAAGGTGCCCTTGCTGATCTTGTGGTGAACCACGTCATCCATGTACAAGTGCATCTCATACACTTCCCCTTCCCATCCAGGCAGTGCCAAGCACCACGTCATCCTGAGATAATCTGGTGTGCCCTGGGATTTCAGGATCCGTTCTTCACACATGTAACATTTCCCCTGACAGCTGCCATCACTCACAGTTACTGAAGATAGAGAACTATCTGAGCATGCTATGTTCCCCAAGAAATTAAAATTTTTTCACTTTCTGGAGAAAAAAAGTAGAAGAACATTTGTTAGTTTCTAGTTGTCAAATATCCAGCCAGAGGATGTGATTTTAATACTTGTGCAGACCACAGAGAGACCAGCTCTTGTAACTGAGGTAAAGGGGAATTAAGAGAAAGAAACCTCTTCATACTGCATCAGTGAGGACTTTAAGACTAATTGTTTCATCGTAACACTGGTTTGGAGGAGGCTGTCTGAAATATCAACATATGTGAAATTATCCATCCGCTCTCCAGGCACTGAACACATCTACACTAGCACAATTCTATGCTGTATTAACTTCAGGAAGTGGGGCAGGATGCTAACCACCACAGTGCTATGAGGCATATGTCTGGTCTCATTGCTCAATCTGTATTTATACAAAAAATAGATTATGAGAATCATTTTCAAATTTTAATAATCTTCTATTTTTATGCTACTTAAAGGCTAACTCACTTCACAGCAGTAAATTATAGTGATGTAATACTGTGTTCTTAAATATTAAAATCTGTAAATTTTGCTAGAGAATTGGTTATTTTTCTACTTTTCTTTCCTATGGTAACTCATAGGAACCACTCTAACTTTTAAAGGAGAACAAACTCTTTTTAAAGAGATTGAAAATTATTAACACACAGAACAGAATACATAAGAAATGGTGGCTCAGAAGAGCCAGACTGAATTAAAATCAGGGTGGAGCGCAGGACAAACTGATTCTGTGAGCTCTCCTGGCTGCTTAGCTCCCATCCTGTGGACCACACATGTGGAGGGAGGAGCCAGTCGTGCACTTGGGGAGGAAAATTTACAGCCATTACAGGACATGTAGTGCTGCCTCAGTTCACAAAACCAGTTATCTCCACAATTCTGATTGCAAACTGAACTGGACAAGAACCAAATCAAATTTTCCCATAAGGTCAGCATTGAACCCAGCCATTGAATTTGGTGCAGCTTTTGTCCAACTTCTTTATGACCAAAATCGTGGAAAGAATCAAGTTCGTGAACCAAGGTGCTACTGTACCTCCATTTGGAAAGCAAAAGTAAAATCCAGATTATGTCTGGGAGCACATATGTTCACACCAAGTGAAAAAAGTTTCCGGCCAGAAGTGAAGGCGCAGCATCTGAGTAAGCAATCTCTTCAGTGAACTATCCCAGGAGCTCCTGCTGACTGCCAGCCAGATGCGAAGGTGGAGGAGCAACAGCCAGTGTCCATCTTCCAGGTGATTATTACTGTTTTATTCAGTAAAGGTGCAGAGAGAAAATGGTTTAAAATAAAAGCTCCATTCTTCCCAAAGAACTTAGTATACATACATAATTTTAAAAATGCTTCCTCAAATGCTTAACATCCATACAGAGAAAGTATATATAGTATTTTCCAAAACTAGTAATAATAACAAAAGAACTTGAAAATAATCCTCAAAAAGAAATGAAGACATGTGGTAGAGGGGCAGGCATCAGAACCAAAGTATCTCTTAGACTGGATCTTTAGTCAAGTGTCAAGGACATAAGTAAGTTTTCAAGTGTTGGTCACCAATCAAGAAAGCAAGTGTGGGGGCTGGGGGTTTAGCTCAGTGGCACAGCGCCTGCCTGGCAAGCGTGAGGTCCTGAGTTTGATTCCTGGAACTGGAAACCCCCCGCCCCCTCCAAAAGAAAACAAAGAAACCAAGTGTGCTCCTAGGATGTAACATTGCCACCTGAAGTTCTCTGTGTTGCTGCACTTTATTCCTTCTCTGGATGGCTTCAACAATGAACAGTGGGAAAACTAAAGGTCAGCAGGAACGTATGCATCAGATAGCTTACTTTCAGGCTTTATGATGCTCATTTGTAGAATCAATCTGAGCTCCCCACGTCTCAAATCATCCCAAAGCCTCCATCATTTCCTCAACTTTATCAAATAAGATAATGATGGCAAAGGCACACTGAAGACAATTAAAAGCATTATCTTAAATGAATTTAAGATGAAAATATGCTGGTGTTATTAGTAATTGTTTCTGTCCAAGAGAGATGTTGGGGAGTGCAGCCTCTGAGTACAACTGTAGGGTGTATGTCCCAGCTGCCACATCCCAGCTATAGGTGAGGCTGAGCATATTGGGGTGCTCTGGGATATACACAGACACACAATATTTATATGTGTGTCCAGTTTGAATTTGCAATTTATTCCATCTAAAGAAACATGTTTTCTGGTTTCTCACAACATTTACTTACAGCCAAGGCCAATCTAACCTGAGCTGTGCACCCCCACGAGAGGGGCGTGTTCCAAGTGCTTTCCTCCTGGCAACTGACTTGCTCAGTACTGCCCAAT